GATGTATTATTGAGCTAAAAGCACGGCTCCACTGACAGTACATCTGCTTGTCAAAAAATATCTGACATTCCTGCCTGGAAAGTCACAAATTACCTCCATGTGCCAGCAAGACCTGGACTGGAAAGGTCAGAGGTCAACTAGAGGTCAGCCCTGCTGCTCCTTTGAACAATGGAGTTTTGGTGTTAACCGGCTCATGTCTTTGTGTTGTATATACGCCATCACAGCAAAGAGTTATCAGAGCTGAGCCTCCTTGAACTTGAAAGAACTTGAAAATTGTTTCTTTCTTCTCATCCATCTTCCACTGGCGTCATTTTTGCATGAAAGGCAGGTCTGCCTGTGTCCGTCAGCAAAATATCTCATGAACTACTGGGAGTTTTCTTTGTGAAACTCTCATCTTTTAACTTTTGGAGCCAATCCGATTCAAGATGGCTGCTACTTTGTCACTTGTGCAGATGTTGAGCTAAGTTTGGGTGTGGTAGTAGATTAGAGTGATTCCCAACGCACGCTCCAGGAGCCAACAGCTTGTATGACGTCTGTGTGTAAACAAAAAAAAAAGAAGTCATTTGAAGTGCAAGGTAAAAACAATGTTTTGTTACCTCCTTCTCAGTTTTTCTTCCTCTCACTTGATCTTGATTTGTTATAAAGACAACAGGCAGTACGACGATGTTTCCCGTCACTGAAGGAGTTGAAAAGTGAATGTTTGTTGTTTTGAGATGTGTGTTTTTCTGGACTGGAACTGAACAGGGAAAGGAAGTAAACCTTAATGTTTTTGGTGCAAGATATTCAAGTGGGTTGGACTTTTGCTTGTCCGAGGCGGCGCAAAGGAACAGATCCAATATTATCCATCACCACGTGCAATGGCGGAGAAAGGGGGTGGCCAGTGGTGGCCATGGCCACAATAGATTAACCTTCAGCCACCCAAAGAACCACCTTCAGTCATAACAAGATTCACTGTTCATTTGAGAAAACAATACTTCTAAGCAGTATAAAAACTAGAAAGCCTAGTTTCTTCAAATGATCAGGGTGGCCGGTTTACATATGTATGGTGGTGGCCATCTTGGATTTTGATGTGCCAACCCAATTTTTGATAGTAACCTTTCTGAAGCCTAAATGTAGCCACACACTGAAATTGAAGTTTGCATGTTACCATTTCCTCACGTTATCCATCTCATAAGATGGACTGGTATTTCTGACAGAGGGTATTTCCAAATCCCCTCTTCACTCCATGGCGTGGGACAAAAACATCCATCCATCATCTTTACCCATTTCTTCTATTTCAGGTCACGGTGGTCACTGGTACCCACATTCAGCAGTCACTGTGTGAGAGGCGCGGGACACCCTGGACAGGTCCAGTCCATCACAGGGACACAGAGACAAACAACCATTCACTCTCTCACACCTAGGGACAATTTAGTTACCAATCAGCCTAACATGCATGTTTTTGGTCTGTGGGAGGAAACTGGAGCACCCGGAGAAAACCCACACATGCACGGAGCGAACATGCAAACTCCACCCAGAATGACACCCCGGCCGGGATTCGATCTGGCGACCTCCTCGCTGAAAGGCGGCAGCTCTACCAACTGCACCACCATGCCGCCCACGGGACTAAAACGTGGTTTCATAATTTCAGAAACACCATGAAGCAGCATGCATGAACAGAACATTTATTAGGACCTAATGGTCTTTGCTCACCGCGGCTCCATCCCTCTTCATCAGAATTTAATTTTATAAATCAAAGACATTTGATCTGTTACCAAAGGAAGGGCCCATGAAGGACATTCACACATCTAAAAGAGCACTACACAGGTAAGGGTGTGAAGAAAGTTTACACTTCACGAGTACATCTGTCCGTCTGTGTTCACACGTGTCAGACTGCATCATCCAGCCATCGGCAGATGTAAAAAACCTCGGAGGTGTTGCACCAAACACTTGGTGAGCCGTTGGGTTTTTGGTGGTGGTCCAGAACCCAGCTCCGTTTAGGACTGTCACTGAATCAATCAGCCTCGTCTTCTGTCATCTTCAAGAGATTTGCTACACAGTCACAGTAAGGCATCTAGTCCCTGGATGAACAAGATGATGTCATTACTGACGGCTCCTGGGGGTAACATGTCTGCAAGCCTGCAGGAAACTTAATTTCAACATAAATCTCATTTCCATGACATCTGTTCATTACTTTTCTGTAGTTTTGACACCGAGAGACGTGTTAATGAATCAAAGCTGGAGTGTTTCTGCAGAGACGCTCGTCTCATATGAAGCCGAGTGTATCATTAATTTTTGTTACAGATTACAAAATATAAAAAGGACAATTGGGATAAAATGAACTCATCATAACAAAAACCTACTTATTCATCTTATGTTTTATGTCGAGTTCACCATAATCACCTTTAAAAAAGAAACACGCCAACCATTTATTATAAGCACCCTCTAACTTTGACTCCTATATATATATATATATATATATATATATATATATATATATATATATATATATATATAAAAGAAAAATTCAATTTTAAACATTTTCTTAAACTTATGAGGTTTATCTTTCACCTTTAAAGATTGTTTGTGCTTAAGTCTTTATCTGTCCACCAAGTGGTGCTCATGGGTGAAAAACATAATTTTCTTTATGAGTAACTTAACACCTGGACTACACACAACGCCCTCACATGAATCAAACGTGTAAATATGATCTAATGTATAGACAGAAAATTGCTGAATTAGATATATTACTTAATTCTCTTAATTGCTGGTATTTTTATATTCTGATATTATTTTTTATATATCTTGCGTGATTCCTTGTGTATATTCCTTTGTATTGAAACTCTAGCACAACAATTTCCTGTGGGATTAATAAAGTTCTAATCTTATCTTATTTAGCTATATTTAAATTGTTAATTGTCTGTTTATTGATCTGAAGCAAAAAGGAGCTGCACTGACTGCATCAACATTTAGTTTTTGATATTTATTTTTTAAATGTACATTTGACGCGTCCCGTTTTTAAAAGCACAATGAAAAATTATTTGTGGAAGCTCGTTCAAAGGGTTTGGAGCAAACCTCGAGTTGGTTTTAAACACTTTTTACTATTGACCACACTATTCTCCTTGAAAAATTAAATAAATATGGTATAAGAGGACCAGCATTACAATGGGTATCTAGCTATTTGAAAGATAGGAAACAGTTTGTACAAATAAATGGTGTAAGATCTGACCTGTGCAATATCACTTGTGGAGTTCCTCAAGGCTCTGTACTTGGACCAAAGTTATTTATTTTATATGTGAATGACTTAGTGAATGTATCAGGACTCCTCAAATGTGTCCTTTTTGGAGATGACACCATATTTTTTTTTGTTTGGGTAAAGATGTAAAATGGATGTTGGAATTGATGAAGACAGAATTTGATAAAATACAAACTTGGTTTAAACTTAATAAATTATCATTAAATTTAGATAAAACTAATTACATGATATTTAGTAACAAAAAGAGAACTGTTGATGATCCACTTAAAATTGAGGGTGTTGAGATTTGTAGAGTTAATGAGATGAAATTTTTGGGTGTAATCATTGATGAACAGCTAACATGGAAAAATCACATCAATTCTGTAAGAACAAAAATATCTAAATCTATTGCAGTACTATACAAAGTTAGGGAATTATTAAATGATAAAGCTCTGTACATGTTGTATAACACAATCATTGTTCCAAATTTAATCTATTGCATTGATGTTTGGGGGAAAGCGTGTAAAACATTTACAAAACCTATTTTTATTTTACAGAAAAGAGCTGTAAGAATTATCACCAGAAAGCATTACAGTCACCCATCAAGCACATTATTTTATCAACTGAAATTATTGCAATTCCATGATTTGGTAGATTATAGTATTTTATCAGTTATGTATAGGGCTCAAAATAACACATTACCATTAAATATCCAAAGAAATTTTGTTAAAAGACAAAGTTGTTATAATCTTAAGGGGATAGAAATATTTATCAAACCAAAATTCAGAACTAGTCTGAAGGGAAGGTCTACCTCAATCCAAGGAGTTGGATTGTGGAATGGTCTAGAGAGTGATGTGAAAAATGCCAAGTCAATGTGTACATTTAAGAAAAAGATCAAAGCTGAATTGTTAAAAAAGTATATATGAAGTAGCTTAGTGTGTGTTTTGTATTAGAATTAGAAAAATTAGAAAGAGTTATTCATTTTGTTCTGTTACTTGAAAATTATTATGATTGAAATAATCGTTTGAAAAAAGGGGCAGATAAAATAAGATTTTTTCTTCTTTCTGCTGCCTTTCATTTTAAATCTCTTGTATCTTTTTTTAATATTGTAATGGACTGGTTTTGCACTTTTTTAAAATGAATAAACTTTATATCATACCATACCAAACACAATGCAAGAAAATAAAACGTTTTCCAACGAGATGGAAAACCACAAGAGCAGGAAACAGAATTGAATCTCAACTTTCAGCTGTTTCTGCAGGTCACCTCTAACAATCTTTTTTGTTTAGCTTTTTTTAATTTAACAAGCATCTGTTTTTAATTTACTGTTCAAAAAGACGTGACCTCTGTTTTGGGGTTTAAAGTAAGCAGAAAATGAAGTTCATAATAATAGAAACATTTGTTTTTAGCATTTATACAAACTAATTCAAACAGTTCATTCTTCAGAACAAAAAGAAAAGAAAAAAGACGTTTGTTCTCCGCACAAACATTTTGGATGAGAAGCGTGTGAACGTGGGTGTGAAGTCACGTTCAGGAACAGAACCTTGGCGTGTTGCTGCCAGCTCTGCCTGCACTCTGGAAAACAGCGATAAACTCAAAGGTTGAAATACATAAACTGCATTTATTTCTCGTTTACTGCCGCTTTTGTCTTCTACAAGTCTGTGCAGATAATAAAAAGAAACAGACTACTACACCAAAACACATTATTTGTTACATTTATTTTACAAAAAAACACATATGTCAAGTAAAATCATTTGTTTTCTTGTTTGTCGAGTAGGTTGATGCAGAGTTCGATCTTTAACGGATGGTTTAAAATAACCTTACAGAATTCATGAGGAGCCATTCTCAGCACCACAAGATGATCCGAGACGTAAAGAAAGACAATTTATTCCAGATTTGAAGCGTTACGGTTGGATGAGCCAGGTTTTCTGTTAACGCAAGGGTGTTAGAGGTGAACGGGTGTTTGGGTTAGTTCAGGGTGAGTTCACGGCAGAGCGCCACGTTGGCTGATGGTAATCATGTCCACTTCACATCCACGGCGCCATCAGAGATGCCTCCTTCTGCGCCTGCTGAACAAAGAAAAAGTGCTTCAGCGCAACAACTTGGTGCTTTCAGGTCAAAATATTTAAACCAAACTTTGCATAGACATTCATTCATTCAACCTTTATTTAGACAGGTTAATCCCATTGAGCCTTGGGGACTCGTTTACAAGAGAGACCTGATTTCTTTAACATATAATAAATAAATTAACGTGGAATTTAAACTGGTGATGAAATAAAAACTAATAATGAGCTGATCTCATTGTTTCACACAAAGTAGTTTTTACATCTAATAACTTACAGTTTGAAATATATGCATGTTTCTCAAATCAGAATAAACTTCACTGCTGAAAAAAATTCTACAAGAGAAATTATTTTATTTAAGACTGAATCACTTCAGCAAGTTTTAATCCGATTGTTTAGTCAGAAACTGCTCAAGGGTCAGGAGGTGGATTACTTTTAGTTTCTAGTCACTGAGATGTTTATTTGTCACAGAATAAAACTGTATTTATGGTACATGAATGTGTAATGCTGTTGCATATGTAGGATATGTTCATTAAGCTGGGATCAACATCAATGTACAATAATAGTGAATATTTTCTGTTTTGTTGTAATTAACGGATGAACAGGTATGAAGAATAAATGCAACTTTTATTTAAAAAAAAAGAAGGACAGCAGATGAGCATGTGTTTACCTTGTTCAGTTCAGGAAAAAGTTCTTGAATGGTGATGTCAAGCAGCACGTATGTCAGCTGAGGAAGGCCGAGAAGAAGATGAGAAGCGTTTAGGTCACAAATACTCAAACATGAGGTAAAAATATGAAACAGAAACAATGTTTTGAAGGAGTGGAATCTAAGAAGACAACGTTGCTGCAGGAACTGTGTTTCACACAGCTGAGGAGCAGACGTGCTGTGAAAACAGTGTTTTGTACCTGTTTGTTGAGGACCGGCTGCTGCAGTCCGTCAAAGAGCAGACGCACACCTTCATATTTGGCCTCCTCTCCAATACATTTGCCCAAAACATCTAAAAAATAAAATAAAACCACCTCATGTATTTCAGGCCAACACTAAATGTCTCCAGACAGCTGAACATTTAACTTGAACGTAATGAGCAAAGAGCACATTATACACCCCCTGACAAACTGTTATACATTAATCTATATCAACGGCCTGGACAAGACCTTGTATTATGGAGCTATTCAACAAAACTGCTCAGCGGGGGCACAGTTTCTGAAAGCCAACAGCTCGGGGGCCGGATATCCAGCGATTAAATCTCCTGCAGCGATGTTAAAGAATCTGGCCACAGATACCGATCCGTCCACCCGGACCCAGCTTGCTGTCCGATCCGACGGGCCTCTCAGTCCTTCTGAGCAGCAGGACTGTCCGGATGCCAGGCAGAATTCCTCCCTGAACGATGGTCACTCCTCCCAGCAGTCTGCAGAGCTCCTCGGACAGCTTCAGGAACTGCAGCAGAGGGCGTGGCACATAGGGACATCAGTGACTGCAGCTGGCATAGGGATATTGGTGACTGCACCAATATATGGATCGGTCTGGATTGGCAGACTGAAGGTGCCAGGGGATGATCCCGGTCCTCCCGTTGTCACGAGCAGAGTTTCCCACCAGCTACAGGATCTCGGTGGTCACGTACTCGAGCACCGTCGCCAGGTTGATGGGAATTCATCCATGGCGCTTCCTTTTCAACTCGTTTGGGATTTGGGGCTGTAGTTGACGTATTTGAGCTTTTGAGATGTTAATCAGCTGCTCCTGGTTATTTAAAAAAAAAGCGTGTTGCCATGGTTACGTATTATAACAAATGCCCAACAGTAAAAAACTTTCAGTAAAAATCCTTCCAGCTGCACAGCATCTGATACCGGAGGAAACAATCATCCAAAAAAGTGATTTATATCCAGAAAAAACAGGAATTGTAGTTTTCAAAAGCAACATCTCAGAATGAATGTAACAGAGCTACTCAAACATGCAGCCACTCCGAGCGGCGCAATTCTAGAACATAAGTATAAAGTATAAGAAACATAAGCATATTAAGTTTCATTAAATTACCTTGTGCCGATCAGAAGTTATGGGCGGGACAAGAGAAAGTTTACGGTCATACGGGTGGAGAATATGTTTCAGAGTATGGACGCCTTTCGACGGGAAAAACATTTAAAAAATCATCCGTTAAACCTGAAAGTACTGAACACCTGGGATGTAGTGCATCATCTCATCGAACGTCCTCTTGGCTCGGCTCTGTTTGTCCTGGGCTGAGCGTGGCGGGCTGCTCTCACAGAACACCGTGTCTGAAAGACAACAGCACATTTACAAGTTGAAATGGAGCTCCAGAAAACACCACTATTTAAAAAAAAAAAGAATAAAACCTGCAGCGTTCGTGTGCACCTCTGAGCAGAGTGATGAGAGAGACGAGCCGGTGCTCCTGGACCACCTGGTTGAGCTTGGACTGAAGGTAATAATCTGTGTAGGCCTCCAGCGTGTTCTTGAACAGGATCCTGCCGCCCATTAGCAGGTGGTGAAACCAGTCAGGAATATGGAAGACAACCCGACCTTTTGGCATTAAAGAGACAAACAGGAGGAACGACTGAATAAATGATGGGCTCGACATTAATGTTGGAGGGTTACAAACTCCAACATGACACCAGGCAGCTCTGATCTTGGTTCCGTCTCCTAAATCCACAAACAAAACACAAAACAGCATCAGTGATGAGACACTGACACTAGTTTATACTTAACCTATTTAATTCAAGAAAACAATCAAATCAGCATGACTTATTCAGAGGGACTGTTTGAGTATTTTAAATAATTTAATCTTTTCTCTTCTATTCTAGTTAAAAGTCAAAAGAACTGAAATATTTAATAGAAATACCTCAAATTTGCATTGATTCCTCAAACATTGTTTTAAAGTCTAATTTATGAGTGATTTAAATAAAACAATGGTAAGTTTATTTACACAGACACAAAAACACATTTTATACACACAAAAAAGTTCTTAATACAACAATCAATTTTTTGATTTTATTAGTATTTGACCAGCAGCTGCATTTTGTATAAAACACAACTGTTTAAAATACTTGTTTTTGTGAAATAATATTGGTAAACTTGTATAAATACTTGGTACTGCTCTTATATTCTCAGACTTTCCGTGTGAAATGTGTCAGATAAACTGCGTTTGAAAGAAAAACCCAAATGTTTTCCAGCTATTTAAAGAATAAAATGCATTTCAAATCAAACAAAAAAAAGTTAAACGGGCTAAATGAAGATGAATAGAGAGATTTCACTCACCCACATACATTAAGTAGTCGTACACGCCTTCAACGGTGATCATTTCCATGAAGTAGTTTTGGTTATGTCTTTTCTCCACCGTCTCTGAGCGGCTGGCGTTATTTTTGAAGAGGTCATTAAAGAGCTGGAAGAGAGCAGGTTGAATGGTAAAGACTCGTCCAGGTACGAATAACCGACAGAACTCGGATTGTTTAGAAGAGTGCATTTAACGTTTGACCTTGATTTGTGACCTTGACTTTAGGGCTGATCAAGTTTCAGCAAATGATCTTGAGTAAATCAGAAGTTATGGGCTGGACAAGCAAAGACCTTGTATAACATTTGACCTTGATGTGTGACCTTGACCTTGAAGCTGGAGCGATGAAAAGTGTGTGCGACACTCTGTCTAGAGCTGATGCATAAGTGTTTTATGTTTTATTAAATTATTTTGAGCAGGACAAGAGAAAGTTTACAGACGGAGATTATACCAGAATACATCCGCCTTCAACAGGCGTAGAAAAATAGAATATATTAATAATAATAAAACATAAAAACAAAGCCCCTTCTGGACCAAAGCAGCTTTAATATTCTAGTAAAAACATCTGTTTAACAAAAAGTGCATATTTCACAATGAAATCTTTGCAGATTTAGGAAAATGTGATAAAATATGACAGCGTTTTCTGGTACTAGGCTAACAAAGAGAGACAAACGAAACATACAAGTTTAGACTGCAAACCTTTTTGTCGTTTTCAGACGTGGGGCTCAGGATAGTGAGTTCAGGGCGACTGGGTTTGGGTTTGGGAGACTCACAGGAGTTGAAGAAGGACTGGATGAAAGGCTCCAGATGTTGTCCTTTCTAAGCACAAACACGGAGGATTTTAGACTCAGTAAAAAGTTTGCCACATCTGGATCCGACGGCGAAACTCTTAACAAACAAGATGTTTTTTTTACTGTAAATGTCCAGAATGAGACACAAACACTTCCCTATAAATAAATTCCTCACCTCTTTTATCAGTTTGCTGGGCACCGACTTGATGATTTTACCTGTAAAACAACAGATGCTTCACCTGAGTGATGGATGGTTCTGTCATTTATTAGCCTCCGTTATACAGATGTGTCTTCAGCTCAGCTCAAGGTTAGATCTAACATGTTTACAGTGTGTATGGTGTGTCCCTTCTGTCTCCGTAACGTTCTCTGTGGCCAGGCGTCTTACCCAGATTCACGTCCGGTAACATCTTGTCCAGGAACTGGGACTCCATGCTGTGGGGGGACAGGAAGTCGGCCAGCAGCTGGCTGTTGCTCAGCTCAGGGTGCTGCAGAAGCCTCTGCAAAAGAAAACAACAACAAAACAACAAATGAAATACTAAAACTCAGTCGATTTTTGTTTTTCCATTTCTGATTTTGGCTGAAAATTCTTTTACAAAATAATCTTTCATAACTACAAAGTCGAGTTAAGAGGTAGTTTTAACAACATGCACCTCGGTCAATAGAAAATTATTAAATCCCTCCAATCAGTACGTGCACAAACACCTTATATAAGCATGGTATGCTTTGGAGAGAAGAACGACCTCATCCTCAATACAGACAAGACCAAAGAAATCATATTGGACTTCATGGAACACCCCCCCACACACACACACGTCCATTACAGCCTCTCATCATTAAAGGGACTGAGGTAGGGAGGGCTGACAGCCATAGATTCTTGGGACTGCAGGTTACATTGGACCTGAGCTGGTCACAGCCACAGTGGAAAAAAGCCCAGCAAAGGCTGTACTTTATTAGGCTGCTCAGGAAGTGGGTCTAAACCAGTGCCCTCTCACCCAGTCCTGTAGAGGACTGATGGAGTATCCTAACCACAGTCATCACCGTCTGGTGTGGGAACACCACACAAGCAGAAAGGAAGGCTCTGCAAAGAGTCATAAAGACTGCAGAGAGGATCGCAGGGACTAAACTTCCTTCCATGGACTCGATGTTTGTACAGTGCTGTCAAAGAAGAGCAGCTGGCATCGTCAAGGACTCACTCCATCCAGCTCACTCTCTTATCAGACACAAAAAAATGTTCATACAACCTGAGAAACAGCGGAGCAGATAGAACCCATAGTACACGGTTTTTTAACAGTTTTTTCCCTGCCACAGTCGGACTGATGGCAAAACCAAACCACCTAATCAGGTGCATTAATAACCCAACACTACTCAACCTCACTGGACATGTGACATGAAGGTGTAGATGTTACCTACTTTCTGTACAGAATAGATACAAACCACTTTGTTCTTGTTTTTATTTTATTTATTTAGTGTTTCCTGTCAAAGACACAGTGACATATGATTTTTGATACTTCCTCTTTCCTCATGTTTTCCCTTTTCCTTATCTAAACAAAAAGGGCAGTGCATCCCAAGAGGCTGCAGCCTCAGGCATCTCCGTCTACCCATGTTGGTTTTCTTTGGACGGCTGTAGTGAAATGTAATTTCATTGTGCTTCTGTGCAAATGACAATAAAGGTTGATTCTGATTTCAGTGTTTTCACTATGACAGAGAGAGCAAGGATTCCAATGTGCCTGGATTGTTGGTCTATGCACACATGGCAAATAACTTTGTACTTTTGTACTTTGATGAATAATTTATGGATCGAGATTATTTAATAAAAGTTAAAGCCACATTTTGATGAGTTTAAACGGATAAAAGCAGAGCAGCTTTTTGTTTCACGCAGTGATTCTGAGTTCGCAGAGGAGCTGTGCTTTCATTTCAAAGGTAAATTTTTACAAAGAAAATGTTTAAATAAGTTGCTAATAATATATTTTGTGGATGCTTACAAACCCACATATAAATTTAAATCTTCAAAGTTTAGGAATCAATTATTCAAGATTTTAAAACAACAAACGTAAAACGTATAAAAAAAACAATATATTGGACTAAAATTAAGAGTCTTGAACTCCTGTATATTGGTTTAAAGATTTACGTAATCTCAGATGATGGAACGACTTGTCTCATCAGATTATCTACCTGTAGATACTCCTGGAACTCCTCCCGCTTCGATCTTAGAAACTCATAATTCTTGGGGCCGATTATTCTCTTGGAAGGCAACTGCGCATCTGGAAATGATCCTGCAGAGGGTGTAAAAGAAACGCAAAAATAAGTATATTCCAACAGACAATCTGTGATTTTTAAGTAACTTAATGTTGCAACAAAGACCATCAAACTCCTATGACTTACTACTACTTATTTGTAGGTTTGAGGTTTTCTGGATTCAACTAAACTCGTTTTTATATAAAATCTCTCCACAAGAGTGTAAAAATAGAAAACCTACCATGAAACTCCGTGAGCTTTGATTCAAGGACATAAAACTCCAGATATCTTCTGTACACAGACCAGTGCTCAGTCTCGTGCCCCACTGCAGAAAACAACAATAATAATTCAACAAACAAGAGAAGACCTGATTTAATCTCATTATTTCCCCACAAAATGATGCAGTGATTCCAAAAGTCAACAAAAACGATCCTCCTGCACGTTCGACGGCACAATCACAGGTCTCTTCAATCCTATTAAAAATGTTATTCTGATGGAAAATGCAGCACAGCTCCAGCTAGCACGACATTAACCTCTCCGATGGCTCCATCCGAGCCTCAAAAGGAGAAATAAAAAAACGCACCTGCTTTGCGGTCGTTGCGCTCCACGTCGATACAGAACACGGGAATTCGCTCCCGCTTCACGTCGTCGTCGTAGAAATCGATGTACGGGATCGTGATGCTCCAGGCCGAGAGGTTTCGAGGGGTGCTGGGGGTGGAGACGGCCTCCACGGGGGAGTCGTCCTCCAGCACCATCATGGCTTCCTCCACCTCAAATGGAGAGAAGTGAAAGAAGTTGAAGATGTTTAAATCCATCAGGTTTTCTTGTTAGACGCCTGCGTGTTATTTTATCATCACTCTCAATCTCAGTCTTGATTTTATGAAATATTGCTCCATATGTAGAATTATTCATCTTTCTTTTACCTCTGATCAACTTCCCAGGCCATACCGGTGTGAAATATTTATCCACATCATAATACTGACAACACTGTGCTTCGCTGAGGCAATGGTGTTCTTGAAAAATGTATTAAAAGGCATATAATTAATTTTCCTTTATTACTAAAATGTTCAGCTTTAGTCCCATCTGACCAGATTCACCTAGATCCAAATGTCTGAGGAGACTCTCAAACATTTCGACTCTAAATGCCTCTTGATTTTAAGTAATAGCTTTAATTTTGAACACTTACATAAACACCAGTGTCACATGAAACTCGGTCATTTCTTTACTGCACCTGAAATATATTGTATACTGTATAATAAATGTATAATATATTGTATACCGTTTCTTATTTACACTTTATATTTTTGCTATTTTTGGGTGTAACTGTGATCGGGTACACACTTTCGTTCCACCTCATGTACCACAGGTGATGTGAATGACAATACAGAACCTTGAACATAACAGAAAACTCTACAACAGAGTATTTTTTTGTAGCCAAATAAAATTAAATAACTTGTAAAACGAGGCAACAGCAGCACAAAAATTTATTTGGTCACAATTTCATCTTGTTGTAGGTCTTGAATCCAGAACATCAGTGCTCCGACTCTAAAACCTGATCCCATCAAAGCAGAACATTTAAATTTAACAGAAATATTTTCTGTGAATCTCATTATTTTTTTTAAAAATGCCCCCATGTGGCAGCGAATAAAAAAAATTGAGTTTGATTTATGTTGTTCAAGTTAGTTCTTGTCTAATTGGGTAAAATAAGCTTATATTTATTACCTAGTTCACCGGTAGTTTATATTTATGTATTACCTAGATATGTGCAATATATATCATGTGCATTTATTACTAACTTGAAATACTTATTCATCCTACTTGAACTGCTAAAATTCTACCATGTTGTTGTTTACCATCTCATTTAGGACCTTGTAAATATTACTTTTTTTTTTACGTTTTATTTTGTACCCTTATTACATGCTGTAGTATTTCTTGTTTGTTTGTTCTTAGCGAGTCAAGTCGCTTCTTCTCATCCTAAACATTTCGTTGTACCGTTAATCTCGTGCATATATGACAAATAAACACAAGTTGAACTTGAATTTATTTTACATGTAGACACACGGGATCGTTTTGTTTTTAAATTTAGACAAATCATGCATCCGTCACTGCCTGCATTATAAAGATAAATTGTTTTTTTTAGACTTCCATCCTCACCATGTCGTCCTCTCCTTCTACCAGCCCGTAGGACGGCAGCATGGCACCCTCCATGGTTGTGCTTTTGAACACTCCTTTGATCTTACTGCCAATGCGGCTGATCCCGAAGGACTCGCCCCTCTTTGACGTGTTCCTGCACATGAACAGGGGAGGATACTGAACAATGGCTGATGGAGGAGAACCACGTGGGTTCTGTGAAGTTCATGCAGCTTCAGAAAACTGATGAAAAACGAACGAGGCGCAGAGAAGAAAAAGCAGCGGCCATCTTTTTAAAAGGCCACAAGCTTGAGATAATGACAAGGCTCTGCTGGACCAAGAGTTTAAAAAAAAAAATTTAAAAAGCACAAAGCAGTGAACACTGATTTCATGAGCTGATGTTTAATCTAAAAAAAATTGCAAATTTAAGAAAAGTGTTGCAGAAAAGGCACAGAGCATCAGCTTGAGTTTATCTTAGGAGACAAATTACTGGTACTACATGATACGTACGAGCTGAGAGTAAAAGTCACTGCGTTGTTAAAAATAATATAAAGACTTTGATCGCAGACAAAATGAAAACAGCACAAAATAAAAGACAAAACAGCTTCCGTGCATTTGGCCTACCATGCAGGGATCTGACTGGGACTGGGGTCAAATGGGGGGTATGATGGTCGGCATATCACACTGAGACACACAGATGGACCCTGACTTACTTGGGCGATGAGTGGCGGTGGGAGAGCGAGCCGTATGGGAAGTTTGTAAACGTGGACTGGGCATGGAGGGAGTTACAAGATGCAGGAGATGAGCTGCCGGAGGCGGTGAGGAGTGAGGAAGGGGACTCGGGGCTCCAGTCCCAGGAACTAGGAGCAAGAACAGGGTCACGTCCCCGTGGGCGAGAGGCGGGAGAGGACCGTGGATCGTATCAGGGCAGGCGTTATGGTAGTCATGGAATCAGAGTGGACATAAAATCACAGACACAGCATGGTGGGGGCCAAACGATGGAGAGAGAGGCAGACAAACAGGCTGAGCGGAGAGGGTATCTGTCAGTCGCAGAGATGAGGGAGTCGTTGCTCGTAGTTGGACAATGTGACTCAGTAAAATCCATTAACTAATTCCAGGAGTAAATATATAGAAACAGCCAAATTTCTAACAAATCAAAGCATTAAACTACAGTTTCTTATTTAATTTATGATGAGTCATGCTATGGTCAGCAAAAGTCCTTAAATAAGGTCACTTTTAATCATCCTTCACTCACCAAATAAAAAACATCATTTGTAAACAAACCTAAATGTTAATGTTAATGACATGCTCAGTGAACTGAAAACCTAGATGTACAGTTAGTCCAAGCCACAGTGAAATTATTTATTTATGAAAGTCACACATTGCTCTCTTAAGGCACAAATGAGGTGCATTTAGCATCTTGCATGCAGTGCTGCTGAGCCGGTCACTGGTCTAATCAGCACGCCGATGCCTCATACTCACCGGATGTCATCCAAACTCAGGCTAGTTCTGGAACAATACGCACAAGGAGTTAGTGGAGGGGCAACGTGGCCACCTACACACCTCACCTCGTGATGAGAAACAAAGATGTCTCCCTGAATTTATTACCCCTTAGTTTTCATTCAGATGCAGTTCGCGAGTTTGTTTTACTAGTAAATTACAGGCTAAACTTGAAGTCACTAATGTTGAAAGGTTTTGTAGCAGGTCGAGATTATGTCCTGCTCTCAAACTGCAGGGCATCTTGATGACAAACGGAGTTGTAACTTTGTGCCAAAGTTAAATCAGTCAGACATGCAAGTTAGAAAGAAAAATAAATGGCGATTCATTTTCTGTCTCAAAGAAAAGAAAAGAAAAACCGAAAAAGAACGTGAAAATGTAGTCATTTTGTTTTGAAATTTGGCATTTTTATTTTATTTCAAGAATATCAAAGTAATACAGTAGTCCCTTGTTTATTGTAGAGGATTCATACGTCCTTGCCTCCTCTGCTCTTTGCCACCTGCAAGCGCTCTTGGCCACGCCCACTTCCCTGCTCTGCACGGGGAACCGCTGATCAGCTGTAGCAGGGTGTTTATCCTACAGTATAAGCTGCACAATTGTGCAGGTAAATAATTTTAAATAATTTAATTTAAATAAAAATTCCATGCCGATCGTGCGGCTCATCCGTCAATCAGCCAATTGTGTGTCATAGCCACCCTTATTGTGAAAAACCGCGATAGGGTGAGTCCGTGAAAAACAAACCGTGAAGTAGCGAGGGACTACTGCATCACATTAAACATTTATTTTGGTACAATCAACACAAATCATAAACCTACCTGCTCATCTTGGAGTTTCTGCTCGGGGACTCCGCTCCTCTCAGGAGCTGCCGAAAGTACTGCAGGAGGACACAAAAGAAAATGTTGGTAATTGCTCAATGCAAATGAAATTCTGTGGGAGAATAATAATAAAATTATTTTTAGATTTAGCTCATATTGCATATAAAGACCATTACGATAATAATCATGGGCCTTTTTATTTCAGAGCAGGAACAAACAGTGCTGGAGTATTTTCCAGACTCTCTTCAAGCACAGTAGTTGCCTGCTGTGGACAATAGGCTGGTCCGCCCAGCTTTATTCAATAACGCAGTCTCTGAGGGGTGAAATTCAGTTTGGCAGCTTGGCATTATGCCAGCGGCTGATTATTGGACGGTTGTGCGTTCAGCATCAATGACAGGGTTGATGGTGGCTCAGGACTGAGACGCTGGAAGATGACTGGCTCATTGAACATAAAATGTAAGATAGTAGTGATCAGTTTATGTCAAACTACCACATTTATAAAGATTTATAATGCTAACAAGACAGACTGGTGTAATACAAACATAATTAACAGTCTGAGGTGAATAATGAATTGGTTCCAGTCATGCGTTGTCACCATTGGCTCACAACATTTGTCGTAGATGCTAACCTCATCGCTGTGACAGAACATGGGGGTGAAAACAGTTTCCAGGAGGAAGAGCACGTGCTCGTAGGCTTCAAACAGGCACCTCATGGTCTGCAGTTTCACCACATCTGCAAACGGACCCTGAGCAACTGCAAATAATAAATAAAGGTCACTTTAAATCACATTCGAGCAGATAAGACTAATTTTATACCGATAATGGAATAAAAACAGGAAGGGATTCAAACACCGGAGTAAGATCTGAGCGTAAACAGCATGACTGATGATTTCTTTAGCTTTACCCCAACAGTCAGATGCAACTAGACCCCACTAAGCAGTTGTCCTGTAGTTTCATACATAAAATAATTAATGACCATAAAATCAGAGAAGATCATATTTTGGTTTCAAGTGGCTCATTCTACAATTTGTAATGCATTTGTTTGGATTGTTGATATGTGCTGCTGATTATTCATGCTGCTGATATTATGCTGCTGATCTATTTCACGCTGCTGTGTTCATTCGTACTCATCTGCTCACACAGACTCATGTTCGTGCTGCTGTTCGGCGTATTGTTTTTGTACTATTGCTTAAGAGTATTCTTAGTTTAGCGTATTTCTTAGTTCATATCTTAGATGTTATTACTATTTTTCTTTACATTTTATACTTTTGTTGGATGTAACTGGGACCCTGTGTACACAATTTAGTTCCATCACATGTACCACATGTGGTGCAAATGACACATAGGGAGTTAGTGATTACGGTTCCTAAGCAGGGTAATGAGGTAACGTTCCAGGTTGTCCCGAAGAAAACCTCGACAGAATCTGGATGTCGGACAAAATTGTTGGTTGTCCGCAACCTTTACAATAAAGACGGCAAAAAATCTCAAGCAAATTTTAATTTATTATGTCTATTGCAGTATATACAAAGTTTACTGCTGTATATACAAATGTTCTCAGTCAGCCATCTTGTGGACTTCTTGGAATTTCCCAGCTACTGAGCAGCAGATTTTTATGATAAACTACAAACACCTGAAACTGACGCTCACGGAGAGAAACGGAGGCACATCTTTGCAGTAATCTGGGGAATATATTCATTCTTTTAGCATCAATATGGTTGAATTATAAGAACTATAGCAGCATTGTGAGGGACACTCAGGCCGACTGCGCTCCTGCCGTGGCACACGCTCTCGGACCAGGAGTTCGGTCATGCACGCATGTTGAACACGATGCTCAGAACGCATTAACATTTAAAACAAATTTAGATTTTAGGTGTAAAAGTCTCGGGGCGGGCAGAGGCGTGGTGCGTTCTGGTGTCTCCCCCGGCTGCAGTGAATCGGTCATGTGCCTTCTGTTAGGGTAGCGGGGTGTCCTCCTTGGAAAATAGTCCAGGAAACACTGACCGCTCTCACCTGCAGTCTGTCTCTGCACTGGGAACGCTGCGCACACCCGCCATGCATCAGACAGCACGACCCACCCCGCTCTGCTCTGCTCTGGTCCAACTGTGGCTCTGCTTCTCTTTAATGGTTGAAAGCAGTGTCAGTTAAATCCCTGCATCATCATTAGATTGGATGGTTATAAAAAGATCGCAACAAACACCTTTTTTTTCCTCCTTTCATTCTTAAAGATGACGAAAACTCGTCACGGCGACAGAAAATTCCACGTCTTGGTTGTTCACCGGACAACCTCGAGGGGAGATCTGGTTTTCCGAGATGAAAATAGTCTCGAACAAACAAACCTCTTATGTTGACCCCTGCTCTGTGTACAATATTTACATAGCAGCGTAAAAGTGCACACGCTACGCAAAAGAATGACGGTATCAAAGTATCAAGTATGTAACTAAAACTAAAGCACGTGAGAAAAGCTCAGGATGCCCCTTTTCACTAGTGAGTAGACTCTGGTTACAACATGGCAGCTCCATGAACTGGGTCCTGTCCGGTTCAATTTCCAACACCCAGAGAAGACGTAAATATTTGGTCTAGTACTCGAACACAGGTTGATGCTAACGAAGAGCAAACCTGAGATTGGACCTAACTTGGAAGATAATCATCTACATTTATAATGTCCAGAAGCTGGGGGTTCTCAAACTGTGGGGCACGCCCCTGTCATACCAGTGGTGGTGGAGGGGGGAGGCGTCGCATGTCCACTCCTCATTTCGTTTTGTACATTTACATACAATTATTCCTTTCTGAGAGTTTTATTAAATTCTGTCCACAAAAAATAAATAAAAATCCATCTACGTTTAAAATACTCCTTTTAATTTGACGGACAAAATAAATAAATCCTGTTTCTTCTTGCTGAGGGTCTATGCTGAGAGTCTATGCTGAGGGTCTATGCTGAGAGTCTATGCTGAGAGTCTATGCTGAGAGTCTATGCTGAGGGTCTATGCTGAGGGTCTATGCTGAGGGTCTATGCTGAGGGTCTATGCTGAGGGTCTATGCTGAGGATATTATACGATTTAATTTCATCCAGACTTGTCCCCTTATAGTTTTTATTTTGCTTTTGGCTGGAGGTTGTCCAAAACACTGCAGCATGACTCCTAACAGGCCCCAAAAACTACACAGACCATATTTTGGACTGTTCTGGCTTCTTTGCTCGGGCTCCCAGTACAGTGTCAGACTGATCAGTAGATCTTGTTGCTTGTTTTTAGGTCATTAAATGGATTAAACACCTTCTTGACCTCTCTGGTCTTTCAACTTTGGACACTCCTAAAATTTGAGGTCAGGTGAGCAGAAACTTCTGGAGGAAACCAGGAAGTGAAATAATTGCAGCTAAAGTTTGAAACATTTGCTTTTCAGTAGAGATATTGGAATGGATTTTTATTATTATTGGATTTTGACCAATATTCGATATGTTAAAACTTATTTGGCCAATAATCAATACCAATACTGATATTTTTTTTTCCATAGACCTACTTACAGAGACTACATAGTTTCTCTGCTGTGGAATTAAAATACTACATTAGTCTGCATGGTCTTTGTCAACTTGGCCTGCTACCAAATATAGATGCAAAACAGGGCTGAAAATGATGTAACACTAAAAATAGATAATATATATTGAAAAACAAAACAGTGCCTTTTATATCGGTGAGTTATTTTGATGGAATGGCCGATGTCCAATATTTAACTTTATCGCTAATATCGGCCGATGCCGATAATATTGTGCATCCCTACTTTTCAGGACACTTGACACTTTCAAAACCCATTTAAAACCTTTTTTTTTTCCCTTTTGGCATTTCTATATTAAGTCCTGACTTTTTAACTTCTACCAACAGACCGACCTAAATCCTGGGACTTGAACAGAAATGGTGAACATCAAAGTGACGTCGGAAACGAATGTTTATAAGAATGTTTAAACAGTAAAATAATAATAATTATAATCCACTGTGACAGTTCGACTATGCAACACAGATTTACAAAAATCATAAACATATAATTCAGCACCAGAAATGGTCCAATCAACGTTTGAATAATCCTCACTCTCCTTGTGTAAGAGGCGTCGCGTACCGTTTCGTATTTCTTCCACTATGAACGGGTCAAAGCGGATCTTGTCCACGTTCTCGTCCAAGCAGTAAGTCTCATAGATCTTCTTCACCTCTTCGTGAAGCATCAGCTTCTCTGAGTCCGACAGCTCCGGACACAAAATCCTGTCGTTGAACTCCTCTACAAGGTCAGACAGAACAGAAGTTTAAGAACTCGTGGTGATTTCTTAATGAAGAAATAATTCTTAAGACAAGGTAGAATAATCTGTTTTTGTCCGGATGTGAACAGAGCGAACTACCGACTGCGAGGCAGAACTGGAGCACGTGGACAGCTCCTTCTTGTTTGAGGAAGTTCATAAAACGAAAGAGGAGGTCTTGCTGTTCTCTGATTTCCTTCAGCTCCAACTTCAGCACCTGATGAAAGAAAAGCAAAAAGCAGAAACTGCTGACACACAGTAATTATCATTTTATGTTCACCTACTTATTCCTAAAATTGGTACATATTTTACAAGGATTTTGCTTGAAATGATCCCACACAGAATCAAATAACTCCCTGGGTGCTGTTCTGTTTTTATCAGGAATTATTTATAATAATTATTTATTCAATTTGTACTGCACTTTACATTGTACAATCTCAAAATGCTACAATATAAAATATCTAAAGAGAATTAAAAAAAAAGGAATAAAAATTTTAAAAGCTAAAAAAAACTGCAGCATTAAAAATACCTTTAAACACTAGAAAATATTTTAAATAAAAAGTCCTTTCTTAAAACTTTCCTTAGTCATAGTCTATTTTTTTTTCAATAAATTCACTTACGGAGGGCTTTTTGTTGCGGAAGTCAGAGTACTTTTGTAGAAACGGAACCATTGCTGAAGCAGGCTCTGTGGCTTCTTCAGGCTGATAAAAAATAAATAATAAAACGTTTACCCTTTTTTAAGTCATAAATAAAATTCACCCGTCAACAACATGAAAACAATTAAACTTGTTTAAAAAAAAAAAAGAAGAAAATCACAAGTGCAGAATCTAAACTTACTGGAGAATTGTCGATAAATATCAATATTAAATGATTCACCGTGTCCTGAAACATAAAAAAGGACTTTGGTTTAAAACTGCTTTTCGGGCTTTAGAAAAAGCCCTGCATTGGTATGCTCATAACTAAATGAACAAATAAACATAATTTGCTTTTAAATTGCACAAAATGGCTTCAAATGGGAACAGCTTTGGATTTCAGTCTTTTAATATTACAGTCCACACTCACAGGATCAGCCAGGTAGTCCATTGAAGGAAGGAAGACAGAACCAGCCAAGACTTCTCGTATTAGGAGAGAAAGAGATCTGAGAAGAAGTGCAAAAATTAAAAAAAGAGTAACGTTATAAACTCTCCTGGAAAGACTCCAGGTGTATATATTTTACCGCTTCAGCGTTACCTGCACTCTACAGCTTTGGGCGGCAGGACGTAAGGGAAAAGCATCTCAGTCAGCTTCCTGAGGTAAAGAAGCTCATCTCTACGACTACGAAGGGCCATGTGGAGATCAGGGCCATACTCCTCCAGGGCAGCTTGTTGAAGATACTCCGTGCTCTTTACTACTCAAGAGAAAGAAGAAGAAAATGTGTTTGCGTTATTAAAATCATGACAAAAAATGGATTTTGCGTGCCGAGATGTGCGATACCTTTCTGCCTTCCTTTGCTAATGATTTCGATATGTTTCAATGATACTTTGAGAAGCTTTTTTGTGATGAGCGAAGCCACATCCACCTGCGAGAGGACAAAATAAATAAATAAAACACAAATATTTGACCTTTGGGCATACCAAGACTTTATGGTCATCTCCGGCACCTTTTGAGTTCGACGAACCAACACAGCCGCAAAGAAACGCAGAGTCACTCTGAGCTCATCGACAAACGCTTCATCGTCTGTGATGTCTCTGAAAGACCAAATTCAACTATTTTAACCAATTTATGTCACAAATAACAAAACATGGATATTAATTATAAAAAAAATGTAATAAAAATGCCTTACCTGTACCAAGGATACACAAAATTTTCCAAAACGAGCTCCAGAATCTATTTAAACATTAAAAGGGATGACGTTTCTTTTGCAGTTTACCGGTAGTTTGTTTGATTGTTTATGTGTGTACCTCTGAAAGAGAAGCATCCACCTTGGAGGGAACTTTCAGATCGAGCCATGGCTGATAGTTTTCCAGTAACAAAGTCGGTCTGGTAAACAGAAAAATGACAGTATTTTGAGCACAGCATTAAAATCCTGTTAGACCCCAGTTCATCACTTTCTTTGCTTCCAATCGAACACCGTTTTCCTCATTTACTCCACTCATACACTATAAATAACATGACAGAATATCCATCATGTATGCAGGAATATATACTCTGCACTGTTGGTATAAATCGTATCCCAAAGCAATGTGATCCCTCACCTGTGTCGTTTGCATTTAATTTTGCCACAAACAGCACAACTATGGCCCTGAGGAAACAGTTCCTGCTGGAATGACTGAAAGAGAAACAAATGAAGCAGATTAACTGCTGCTGCTGAGCTGTGTCCTCCTTTTCCAATGTTCATCTAAAGCACCAGTAGAAATTAAATGAGCATGTACATCCCAGTAAATTAGAATATCATTGAAAGGTTCATTTATTCCATTAACTCAATTCAAGAAGTGAAACTCATATGAATGAATTCCTTATTCATCGTGATATAGTTTAATCTTTTGCCTGCTAATTTTGATAAAACCCAAAATTCAGATTATCTAAAATGTTGAATATTGTATACTGATAAGGCGTGGGCTGTGTCAGGTCGGTGCTTCCAGGTCCACCACACACAGACTGATTCCACTCCTGATTCACTCCTGAACCAGAGACATTGGAAGAAGCGTCTTACCTGTGATAAGGTAAAAAAAAAAAAAAAAAAAAAAAAGGACCGGACTGTTGCTCAGCGGAGCCACGTTCCCTCTTTAGATGAAAAACTTGGCATTTCACTTGGGAGTTAAAGTCCCAGAGACTTGAGGAAGAGTGGAGCGGCACAGAAACTAAGTTGCTTGAGGTCTCGTGTGAAGCTTCCAGTCAGTGATGACTTGGAGAGCCGTGTCCTCAGCTGGTGTTGACCCACTGGGTTTTATCAAGTCCAACGACAGCAAAGGCATCTACCAGGAAATTTTAGAGCACTGTTTGCGTCCCTCTGCTAATAAGCATTGAGGAGATAATAGACAAGGCCCCTGTGCACACTGCCACTACCTGGTTTAATGACCATGGAACCACTGTGCTCGACAGGCCAACTTGAACTAAACTCTGCAGAAAATCTATGGAGTTTTATCAAGAGGAGGATGAGAGACGACAGTGCAGACGAGCTGAAAGCTGCTAAAAAAATAATAAGTATTCAGTAAATATACTTGGGGCTTTCGGCATTTCTGTTTATGTAATATTAGCAATGTTTCTTGTGAAATATTCTTATTTGTAAGATACCGATAGGCTCTTTAAGATGTCCTCAGTCTTTGTAACAGAATACCCTGTATCATCTGTTCACAGTTCAATGTTAGGACATGCTGCTCTACAAGTGATACAGCCAAGAAGGGTGGTGTTTTTAGGTCTTACTGATAAACATGGTACAAATGTGTCTCTGATAATCTGGGGTCAGACAGATTCTACCGCTTAGATCCGTCCCATCCCTGGGACATTCTGCTTGACATTTATTTAGTAATTGTTCACGTCTTCCTTATCTTTTTGCCACAACATGAGCCATATCTGACAAGGATGAGTCAGGTTCTCTGGATGGATTCTTCTTTTTTTAAATGTTTTTTTTTTTTTATCCAAAAGACTTCTTCAGTCTGAGGAGCTGCAACAAACTCAGCCCTATAAGCAGCATCTTCTCATAGTGAATCAGTTTGTTGGTGGCAGCCAAAACTAGTTGTTCACATGCAAAAGGAGGACCATCAGCCTAGCAATTGATCGTTAGCACCCTGATGGCCGCTTGCTATTCAGAGGGCTGAGTGATACTAGCAATAACAGCATTGTAAGAAGGTGACAGTTGAACATGGAGGCCTCCACCCCCATTTAATGATGGGTGGTTTCTTTTCACAAAGATGGCCTCCTTTACTCCTCCCTCAAACCATCGTTCCTCTCTATCCAGGATGTGCACATCTTCATCCCTGAAAGAGTGACCGCTGGCCTGGAGATGAGTGTAGACCACAGAGTCCTGGCCTGATGATGTTGCTCTTCTGTGTTGGGCCATCCTTCTGGCCAGTGGCTGTTTAGTTTGCCAGATGATCAGGACTGTACCACAGAGCAGACAGCGTCCCCACAAACTCAGAAGCCAGGCAGAAGGAAAAATCCCACACAAGACAGGCCCTAGAGCAATGTAGATATTATAACTGGGCCTTCCTGAAGCAGAGAAGGAACCCAAACAGGACTCCAAGTCAGCAATCAGGTGAAAAGGAGGAACCCAGACCCAGACCCAGACCAGTGGTCATTCTGTAGGTTGAGGGAGTATCAGAGAAACTGAGACGTTTAATTTTCTAAACATAACGTCCCAGTAGCTTTTAAACCCCAAAATACATTACGGCAAAGACTGGTTCATCCCACAGATCCAGTTCAGTGTTCAGTATCAGGAGGGCTGTGATCAGTCTTACATCGGGGAAACTAAACAGCCACTGGCCAAAAGGATGGACCAGCACAGAAGATCAACATCATCAGGCCAGGACTCTGTGGTCTACACTCATCTCCAGACCAGTGGTCACTCTTTCAGGGATGAAGATGTTCACATCCTGGACAGAGAGGAACGATGGTTTGAGAGAGGAGTAAAGGAGGCAATCAGAGAATTCATCCATCATTAGACGGGGTGGAGACCTCCGTGTCCAATTGTCAACTTCTTACAATGCGGTTATTGTGAATATCACTCAGCCCTCTAGCAAGCAGCCATCAGAGAACTATCGGCCATCCATTGTTAGGTTAATGGTCCTCGTATTGCATTTGACCAACCAGTTTTGGCTGTAACCCGCAAACTGGTTGATCCACTACGAGAATGTGCTCTTTATGACCGAGTTTGTTGCAACTCCACAGACTGAAGAAATCTGTTGGGTAAAACGCAAAATGTTTCAACAAAGAAGAATCCTTGCAGAGGACCTGACTCATCCTCGTCAGATTTATCTCCCTGCATGTGCATGCGTCCGGACAACATGAGCCATAATCGTCCAATACTTGAAATAAATGAACTTGTCGATGATCTAATTTATTGAGATGTACCTGAATGACATATCGGAGAACCCACCTTGGTCTTTGGTTTTATAGAGACTAAGATATTGGGCAGCAGAGACTCGGGTCCCAATGAACAATAAAAGGTGACAACTCCAGCCAGGAAGGACCAAAACACCATCATAATGTGAATATATCTGAAAACAGGTGACAGGAGTCAACACGTGCTGATTTCAGGGAGTGTTACCAAGTAGGGTTAACTCACCGATTTAAAAGCACAGTGGACAACAACAGGACCAGCAGCAGGAAGCAGAAGACTGGATACTGTCGGCCCAGTTCTCTGACCCGGTCCAGCTTCACCCTTTGTCTCATCATCTGCAGAAAAGCTCTGACGCACACCATCGTCGGCTGTTAGCCCAACTTCAGATCACTGATAAACAAACAAGTAAACACGAGCAGCAGCTCCTTAAATTCGGAGTAATTTCCCAGTAACAAAAGGCATGGCGCACAGAGTTCGTGTTATTGCTCGAGTCGGGATCTTACCGCTGATTCACGGCTGATGTGAAGGTTGATTTTATCGCTGCGGTCCAGTAGCAGCATGATGAAGTTGCAGAAGACGACACAATGGCTGTTTGAATGATCAGCGTTCAGACAGGCGTGGTGAGCGCTTCCAGCTGTTCGGGGGATTAGTGACAGTCGCGCAGCATCGTTGGTCTGCGAGCTGTCGTCAAATAAATAAATAAAAAGCGCATGAAGGTCGGTGTTTGGCTAATGGCCGCGGTGCTCTCTGGCTGTCATCTCTGAGGGGCAAAGATTTCTGCTCTGTCAACGCTGGAGCTTCGTGATGTCACCTCCGCTGCAGCAGCTACTGGCTCCTGTAGTTCACATGCAGCCACCGCGTTCTTAATCATGCGAGTTTTTAAACAAAAAATAAGCTAGTACGTACCGTGACGTCACAGAAGCAGTAGCTAGCTAGGGGCGACAGAAAATCGAAAAAATAAAAAAACTCGACTTGTTCATAAAATCACATATTTTTTATGGAGAAAACGTTCTTTTTTGTACAGAAATCTACCAGCTTTCATTCTATATAATTAATTTTTAATTTCCGCTCACTTCCTGACTACAGCGGTGGCGTTGCTATGGTTACCGTTAAGCATTACCTAATCAGGGATGAATGAGTTGGGGCCCTTTTTTATATATATATATATATATATATATATATATATATATATGTATATATATATATATAAACTCCTCAAACCCAATGAGACAATACCAAGAATATACTAAATGACCATGAAATGGTGGCTTGTGATTTATGGGAATAATGAAAATATTTAATAGATAAAAGGTTCAAAATGGCCTTTGTGGTCTGCTTATGAACTGTGTGGGAAAGGTGAAGGTCTCCATCTCACAATCTAATCTCAAATATTTATTTACACACCATAAATGCAGCTGCTTTGTACTCAAGTCAGAACAGAAACTTAACTCTTAAAGCTTTTATTCTGCCAATTTGAGGATGCCGACTGAAAAATGCATCGTGTTCCATTTTCATAATTTTTATTTTTTGTGAGTTACCAATACTTTTACAGGTTGCTTATGGTTTCTGGATTAATTGTATACAGTTTAAATTACCACTGCATTGATTGCACGGTTGATGTTGCAAACTAAACTTCTGCATGAACAGTCCCGATGCACGCTGAATAATCCAGGTAGATGAATCGAACAAGGTTGAGTCAGGTCCTCTGGATGGATTCTTTGTTGAAACATTTCATTCTTTGGACAAAAGACGAAATGTTTCAACCATGAAGAATCTGTCCAGAGGACCTGACTCAACCTTCATAGATAATGTGCAAACAAAAACAAGTTTTTACACAGTGGTTGCTAATCTGTTAGCTACAAGATTACTTGTACCTAATAACTTTACCCAAAGAGTAAGACACAAATAGAAATCAAAAACTTTATTACAAAAATAAGTTACACTCACCTCCATTTTACAGTATAAAACAATTTATTTGCAGGAATGCAAAAAATGTTGTTGGCCACCAACAATAGTTTAAAACTGCTAACATTTTTTTTTCTCAAAAGGTGGTTGTGATTTTATTGAGGGAGTTAACTGTATAGAAAACTGAGATTGAAGAACAGTTTCCCTTTAAGCTATAAGTACTTGGAAACAAATCATTCACTGCAGTATCCCCCCTACCACTGTGGGACTGTGATCCTTCACCAAATCATGGCAGCTGAAGTTAGGCACACGCTTGTTGACTGGAAAATATGGCAATTCAGTCATCCATCAAGGCTCACTTCAAGGATCTGTTTAGCTGCTGCCTTGTGAGATAGGAAGGGTTCGTTCTTGATTATCATGATCTTACAAGATGAATTAGATTCTATACCTTGACATTGTTTTGATGGTGCTTGAAAATGTGTAGAATGAATAAAAAACCCACTGGAAGAGTACAGTGGCAAAAAGGGACACTGCAGGGCTTTATTCTGTGTGTTCTTTCTTTTTTTTTTTTTTTTAAAGTCAAAGGCAGTTGGACGCCTGTGACTTTTAATCCTTTACAAAACGTAACATTTTCCGAGAAAACTATACAACCAGTAACTACATATGCTGAAGAAGCAAGGCAGCTAATTCAGTTCAAAATAGGATAAAAGAAGGGCTTGTTTAGACTCATCATATGAGATTGCTTAGCATGCCCAGCTTGACTGTTTGCAGTCTGCAGAGCTGCAGCTAAAAGGAGTATATTACATTAAGTACATCATTTTTGCGCTGCAGCTCTTGTGCATATTTTGTATGAAAACAAGCCCTGCTTTCATCTATATAGTTTCCCTATTTACAGTACAGGCCGGGTAGTTTAGTCCTCTGTACTGAGGTAGTCAACCAACCCTTTAAAGACAAGTTCTTAAAAGAACCACTTTCCTGGAATGCCTGACTTCTCCATGCCAGGTGGGTACACCCTAAAACCCTGCAAATGTTCCATTTCAAACATCCAGATCAAACAATATCATGGATATTCCAACAATAAAATTGCAGTTAGCACAAAAATATACAATAGTATCAAGCTCATTTGAGCCACTTCAAACCTAAGAACTTAAAAAGTGCAATTTCTTCAATAATTATTTTTTTAAATGGCATGTTCAGGGACAGGGAAGGGGTAGATTGTAAGGGCAATTCATAAAACCCTAAAAATCAGGGCAACATATGGGGAGTAAGGGCAAAGAGGCTGTGGCAAATGTAGTCAGAATCCTCTGGACAATTTTTGAGGTGGCAGTTTCTAAGAACAAAACAAAACAAAACAAAAAAAGAGGGGGCGATGGGGAGACGCTTCTTCCGTAAGGCTGGAATATCATTGGACCTTTTTTGTCACACTTGTTATGTCAACATCCATTGCAGCTTCTGGTGTAGCCCCACACATCAAGTCAGCTTCCACTGGGACAGGTCAGGACCGCCCTCGGCCCCGTTTCCCTGCTGGATCAAAGAGAGAGGGAAAAGAAATAAAAAACTAGACTTGGTGTTCTGCTCCTAAGTGAGCCTCAGTTAGGCCTCCTTATAAACTATTAGGTTGCAGACGACCTCTGCTGCAAAAACTGCTCTGAAAGGCGACGTGTAATGAAGGACTGAACCATCTAACCGGGTCTGAATTTTTGCATGTCCTGCCTAATGATAAACTAAAACCATCTTAAAACCTAAAAGAAAAAGTTATCCAATGTTTAGCTTCAGCAACTGCCGCTGTAGTTTGCATTTTACAGGATCCCTTTGGATCCATGTCACTGCTGCTTCTCTTCACAAAATACATGCCGGCTCCCACCCTGCACTTAGTGGTCAGGGCACGCACAGCTTCAAAAATAAAAAATGGCTAAACCAACTGAGCCACTTAGGAACGTCTTCTTCTAACAACAACGTCAGGTTTAGTTCATCGCCACGGTGCATCCAAATGTTATTTACCTCTGGCTGATATGAGGCCTCCTCGTTGAGTGAAGCCCACCCGGCCCCTCGTGGTGACAGCACCGCGACCTCTGGTCTGAGCTACACCTCCACGGACTCCTCTTACTGCCCGTCCTCTCCCGGACCCTTGGAAGTCTTCATAGCCATAGTAGGGGTCATCATAACCACCTCGGTAGTTGTGGTAATCATACCCATAGTAATCGTAATAGTCTTCATAGCCGTAATAGTCATGAGGGTAAGAATAACCTCCTCGCCCACCTCTTCCTCTTCCTCTTGTGGGTGGTGGCATGTGGGGAGGGCCATAATAATAGTACTCATCATACCTGAGGGAAAATATGTAGATTTAACATCAACATAACGATAATGTGGTCATTTAGTAATTTAACAAGCAGTACAAACATAATGGTAATGAAATAAACTTCTCATTTGCATTTAAAAGGAAGATCCCTGTAAACTATACTGAAAGGTGTAGTTAGTACGATGGAGCTTTAGAGCCACGCAAAAAAAATAAATAAATAAATAAATTACATTGCTACGCTAAGGAAAAAAAAA